CGACATGATGCCCGCGGCGCGAATTGGCGTGGATGCGCGGAATCTCTTCATGCAGCCAGTTGAGCACGAGTGACGCGCATGACATAAGAGGTGACGCCGCCCGCAAGTATCAAGGTCGAGGAAGGCCCCTGGTCACCAATTGGGTCTCTGCATTGGCGCCCGAGGTCCCCGGCGTCTTCAAGGCGTCGCCTGAGGCCCTGCGGCTGCGACGACTATCCGCCAGCCTGTTATTTTGTCATCTCGCACGGCGCAGCTAGTTGTGAGGGCTGCATCGCCGCGTGCCCTGCGACGTTTTCTGCATTCGGCTCCAGAGGCCGGTGAAGACCGGGCTGGAGGGCGGAGGCACTTCATCTTGACCTTCGAGGCCGCATTCTGGGATCCACCCGTTCTCGAGTTCCTCGCCGGGGCAACCGGGGGCGAGGCCCTCGAGGTAGCGAAGCGTGGCGCGTTGAGGAGACAGAAGGATTTCCAGAAGTGGGCGGAGGAACGTGCCATCAAAGGGGCTGGAGGGCTCCGCGCCGTCACAAAGGTACCAATTGGGTTCCCAGAGAGCACCAGCGAGGCCCCGTTTTGACCCGGGGGCTGTCAGCGGGAGGTGGAGGAGATACAGAAGGAATGGGGCAGGTGGTGGAACGTTGGGAAGTGGCATCGAGGTCTGGATTGGCCCGATGATCTGGGGCCCCGCCCTGGGCGCCCCGCAGTCCAGCGCCTGAGGGAAGTCCTGAACGCATTCCCGAAGGCCACTGATGTGTCTTCTTGCATGCTCCGACCTCGGCAGTTGGAACAGTTTTGCGATGAAGTCCTAGAGGCGTTCTCGGGCGCGCTGCAGGCGGTCGAGGCGTCGGCCGAGTGGCCGCAGGTGCCCTCGAATACCGCCTTCTATCTCCAAGAGGCTGGGAGGCGTGCGCCCCGCGGCCGTAGCTCACGCGCTCGCTCGAGCCCAGGCGCGCGCGCGCCGCCCGATAGCTCGCGCGCGGGAATGTCGGAATGATCGAGCTCACTTCTGGGCCACCGAGGGCCGATGGTGTGATCGAGCGGTTTGGCAGCAAACCGCCTGGTCTGAGTGGGTTAGCATTGAGGCGAAAGGATCAGCGAAGGGCATTTGAGTGTCGGGCATGATATTAATTGGTCTTCTCAAGGCCTTCGAACAAGTGGGGCGTCATTGGCTTCTCGAAGCAGCGCGTGCTACTGGATTCCCACTCTGGCAGTTGAAGCTCAATCTGTCGCCGCATCGCGCAGCTCGGCACAGTTTCATACGCTGGGCCGCGGCGCCGCCGCTCGAGGTTGAGCAGGCCGATATTCCTGGTGCGATGGTTGGGCCCCTTGCGCGCTGAAACTGATTATGCTTCGTCCGCTGGATGCCGCGCGTGCGCTGCGTCGCGCGGTCGCCCCCACCAATGTTGTCGATGACCTCTTCCTGCGCCGCGTTGGGTCTAGTGGTCGCGCGGTGCGGGAGTTGGTGGAAGCGGCCCGGGATCTGAAGGAGGCGCTCGCAGCGGTGGTCTCCAGGTGCATGTGTCAGAGCCTGGCGCGTTGTGCAATGGCTGCGATGTCCGTGGAGATATTGCGCGCCGGCCGTGCACGAGTGCGCCTCCAAGCCTGCAGCGCGTGAACGCAATCTCGGCATCGATTTCGCGCGCGGTCGGCGCATGGGGCGCGAGTTGCGGCGCTCACGTTTCACGGGTGCACGTCAGAAGTTGCGCGGCGCAGGTCTTATCGGGCGCGGGGCTAAGATGCGCATGGCGACCAAGAAGGTCGCGAGAGCGGGGCTGGAGGCGAGCGTGAGCATTGGAATGAACGCGACGGGATGCCTGACTTCTGACCTAGAGGTGGCTCGCAGCATTGTTTTCGCAGCGCTTGTAGGCACTGCAGCAGGCAAATCGAGAACGCTCTCGCTCATGCGTAAGAAGTATGCTGATCCTTTGTTTCGTGCCACATGCATGCCTGCGCTCGCTCTCTGTCGAGCGACATGGGCGGGGTGGGTTCCGAGGCGCGCGGCGCGGGGCGGGGTGGGGGGAGCTGCGAAGGTCGCGCTTTGTGCTCAGGTGGCAGGCCCGTTTGGGGCTTGCCGACTATCCCTAGCGCATCGGTTGAACCGTAGGTTCGCCTTCCGAGTGGACCACGCGCGACTGAGCTGTGCTGGGCGCAGCGTCCGTGCGCCCGCGAGTCGGTCGCAAGCATCTTTTTCGGGTTGTTGAGGCTTGGCAGTGGAAGCAGATTGCTAAGCATGACGCGATGAAGCATCTCGAGCAGGGGGCGGTCTGGCCCCCTCTGGCTCGGGCGATTTCCAGCGGTGGGCCGCGCTTGGGGTTGCGTTCTGACGTGGCCCCTCTTGGGGCCAGAGCCCGCGGCTACCTCCGTTCGCGCGTCATTGGTGGGCATTGGCCCATGGCGCGAAATTGCGCGGCGAACCTCGCGCCGGGCAGCGCCCGTCTGATTTGCGAGCGCCCAGAGGCGCTTCTTCACAGGCACTTCGAATGGGAGCTTGCGCTCGAGATTGCGTTTCACGGTGCTTTCGTTTCGTTGGTCCTGGCCCAGGACCGCCCCCAAGTCCAGCTGCTCTTGGCGAGGGCCTCGCGGACCCCGTCCAGGAGTGAATGGGGGCCCCCTGGCCGGGGCGCGACCGCTCGGCAGAGACGTGAGGGGCCAGGTGTGATTTTGGCGCGTGAAGCCTTCCTCGCTGGCTCCGCCTTCGAGTCGCAGCGGGGAGGCCTCGCGCGCGCGGCGCGGGCGGTGACCGCGCTAGCACCCGAGGGGCCGCTGGGTGTACAGGACATTGTCTTTTGTGTGCGTTCTCAGGCTGTGTTCGGTATTGACGGAGGCGAATTGAAGGCCTTGCTATTTCTGCTTCAGAACTCGGTGCCCCCGACATGCGCGGTTACTGATTCTGATTTTGTTTTTCGTGGAGTGACTGAAGGAGGTCCCGAGGCCACCGCGGCCCATTCGTCGGCCTGGGCGCGCAGGTGGCGGGCCCTCTGGCGGGTCCTGGACGAGTTCGGGGGCCTCTGCGAGGCTGATTTGTCAATCCGCAAAGTTCAAGAGTCACTGCGCGATGGCTGACGTTGCTGCTGGTCGCATTAGCAGACGCGATCGATTTGGAAGTTTTCAGTCCGACCCGTGGGCCAAGCGCGCGCGTCAGCGGGCTCGTGCGCCCGCCCCAGTCAGTCGCAGGATGCAGCGGGCTGAACGATTCGTTGAAAGGGGTGTGTAGTAGGATCGGGGAGGTGGGTGCGCATGTGGGCGCGCGCGACGCCACTCGCGTTGCGCGTCGCGTTCGTGTTTTGAACGCTGTGCCGCAGTTGAGCGTTGTGCACCCACGCCCCGCGCGCAGTTTTGATGGGCATGGCCCTCGGCGCTGTCCCCCGCCCCGTCGGTCTGCTATGGTTCGATCGCAGCGAGAGCGGCGGATGCTCATCGTCGGATACGCGTGCGAGGCGAGGGGCGGAACAGGCTCGTCATGTTTGAGGTCGAGCCCGAGCAGCTGGGGGCCGCCCACCCTGCCGTCGGTCGTCAGTTGTGCGGGGCCCCTAGCGCGGGGCAGGTCAAAGGGTTTCTCGCTCCTTGTGAGCTCCCAGGGACCCACGGTTTGAAGGTTGTCAAGAGGATGGCCGACGGTTTTCTCCCTTGGGTTTTGAAGCGGGCTATCCCGTGCCGAATGTTGGCAACATAGAGTGATGACTGCTGGATTTTGGGGCCCTCAGAAGGGGGCCCCGCTGCTTCGGGAAGACGAGGGGACTGGGGACAAGAAGAGGAGAAGAAAGAGGCAGAGGAACAGGAGGCAAAGGAAGATACACCCTTCCCCCTCCCCCTCCTCCCCCATTCCTTCTCCTTATAGATAACTCCTCCTTGTCGCACCCCGAGGCCAGTTTCTAGAGCGGGCCGGGCGTTTCGTTAGAGACCCCCTCGCCATTTATGATTCTGAAGCTTAAAAAGTGACAACAGCTTGACAGATGGAGGGCGGGTCGTTTTAAAATGTGGTTCTCGCCTTAGCGCCGCGCACATTCGTTTTCAAAAGGTGCACAGAGATTCGCGGATTGAAGGTGGGTCCTTTTCAAAATCGGGCTCTCGCTTTGGCGCCGCGTACATTCGTTTAAATTTGCAAAAGTTTCACGGAATCGGGGCGGTTCCTTCTCAAAATGCGGCTATCGCCTTAGCGACGCGCGCATTTGTTTTAAACATTTGAAAAGGCTCGCGGATTGAAGGCGGGTCGTTTTCAACATGTGGCTTTCGATTTAGCACCGCGCACATTCGATTTTAAAATATTGCAAGAGGTTCACGGAAGGGGGCGGTTCCTTTTCAAAATGCGGCTCTCGCTTTCGCGCCGCGCACATTCGTTTGAAACAAATTCACGATTTTTTCGCGGATTCCTATGATCAGCGTACCAAAAATGGTGTTTCGGAAAGATTCAGGATTATGCGGGCGCATCAATTATGTTGATTCGCTGTGTCGAAGTCCCAAAAATGACGTTCTGGCGCGATTCTGGATCGTCAAGACGCAGCAGTCAGGTTGATACGTGGCGTTGAAATCCCGCGAACAATATTTTGGAAAATGCTGTGTTTCAGCGAGGCAGTTCCCTCAATGGAAATGAACCGTTGTAGGGGCCTGTGAAGAGGGAACTTGGAGGGAGGGTTAATTCCAATATCGTTGATGACTCGTGGGTTTCCACTGGTCCTCCCCCTCCTCCTCCTCCTCCTCCTCCTCCTCCTCCTCCTCCTCCTCCTCGTGTCGCTGTCGCTGTAGGCTCCAGTGTTCATCCTGGGAACGGCCATCCCCCATCCCCCCCCCACGGGGGCTGTGTTTCCTCCTCCTCCTCCTGCTCGTCCTCCTTCTCCTCCTCCTCCTCCTCTTCCTCCTCCTCCTCCTCCTCCTTCTCCTCTTCCTCCTCTCTCCTCCCTCCTCCTCCCTCTTCCCTCCCTTTGACTCCGCCTGACTCCTCCTGGCTCCTCCTGGCTCCTCCTCCCTCACCCCCTTTCCCCTCCTTCCTCCCTCTCCCCCGCCAGGCCCCGAGGCCCCGCCCGACTTCCTCCACCTCGTGGCTGGCGACGGCCGCCTCGGCGCCACCACCCGCTGCTGCACGCTGCCCGCCGGGGAGCCGCCGCTCGCCGCCGGCCGCCGCGGCGGGCCCCTCGCCGCCTCGCCTCGACTTCGCTGCCCTGCGCCGTCTTTGTCGTCGTCGTCGTCGTCGTCGTCGTCGTTTTCTTCGTCGTCGTCGGTTTCGTCGTCGTCGTCGTCGTCGTCGTCGTCCTCGTGACCTACGTTGTAAGCCTACGTGCTGAGCTCGGTATCAGCGCGCTGCGTGTTGCGTGTGGCGCATTGGGCCAGCTCGAGCTCCCCAGGTCCCCAGGCCCAGGCGACGCCCAGAAGTCAAATCAAGACAGCGACGGCATGTGGAGGCCGTTGCCCAGTCCAGGGGCCGCCAGCAAAGCGACCCGCGGGATGGCAAGCTAGCCCCGGCGGCCGACGTCACAGAATAATCCGCCTCCTCCTCCTCCGTCTCCTTCTCTCTCCCCTTCCTCCACGTCCTCATGTTCTCCTTCTTCTCTTCTCATTATTTCTCGTCTTCCCTCCTCCTCCTCCTCCTTCCTCCTCCTCCTCCACTCCCTCCTCCTCCTCGTTTCGGACGCCGTCCTAGAGAAGGGCAAAAAGGCAGAAACACTTCTTCCCTACTCAACCTCGGATCCTTGTCTCGGATCCCGCGGCGCAGAGGCTGGGCCTTCTCACTGAAACTACCCGGAAGCTTGAATTCAGTACGTTGAGTCGCAGCACTGGTTTCAAGTGTGACCGCAATCCGTCTTGCATGTTTCTGTCCTGAACTCGTTTAGGGTTGGTGGTTTTATCACTTTCCCTATGAATATGCGTCTGGCATCCAAGCTACTTTTCCAGGATGCCTCGATTCGCTGCAGTGAACATGTTGGCTGGGCATCGTGCGTGCTGACACGTCTGCGATTGCGAGTTCTCACCTTTTTCACACTGTCGTTGTCCGTCCTGCTTCCCGACTCGGCGAATCGTTTCATGTGCTCGCCTCCTCCTCGTCCTCCTCCTTCCCCCTCCTCCTTCCTCCTCCCTCCTCCTCCCTCTTCCTCCTCCTCCTCCTCCTCCTCCTCCTCCTCCTCCTCCTCATTCCTCCTCCCCCTCCTCCCCCTCCTCCAGGGGCCGACGCCGACGCCACCGGCCGCGAGGTCCACGCCGGCGCTGGCACCGTCGATCGCTGTCGAGGTCGACGCCGAGGTCAACGCCAGCGCCGGCAGCGACGCCGACGACGGCGCTGACGGCGGCGGCGGCGACGGCGGCGGCCACTGCCAGGAGCACCTCTACCTCGTGCTCGACGACGCCGCGCGCGCGGGCTCTACCCTCTCCGTGTTCGTGGACGGGTCGCGGCTCAACCTGGAGCCTGGGGCGTGGAGGGGGGCCAGCAGGTCGAAGAAGAAGCACCTCCATAAACATACATTTCTTCACACTTCGCGTATCCCCACCAATCCTCCTCTTCCTTTGCGCTAATTTAGGACGCCGCCCGACCTTTTCCTCGCCGCGGTCGCGATCAAAAGTATCCCCACCAGTCCATTCAGAAACGCTACACACGAGAGCTGTCGGGAAATGGGAGGAAAAGACACATCTGGTGGACTAAAGCGGGCAATCATGGTGAGCTGAGGATGCGGAGGAGGATGGAGAAGAGGCGGAGGAGGAGGGGCATAAGGAGGGGGAGGAGGAGAAGGAGGATGAGGAGGAGGAGGAGGAGGAGGAGGAGGAGCAGGAGCAGGAGGAGGAGGAGGAGGAGGAGGAGGAGGGGGAGGTGGAGGAGAAGGAAGGGAAAAACGGGGAGGAGGTGGAGGAGGAGGCCCTGCTCCCGAGCAGGCGGCTACGGATGCCTCTCGGAGTCTCTTCCGGATATCTCTTGGAAGCTTCTGCGTCTCTCGGAGTCTCTTCCAGGAGTCTCTTGGAAGCTTCTTGAGGGCCTCTCGGCGGTCCTGGGGGCCTCTTGGAGCGCCTGGGGTGCCTCGGGGGAGCCTCTTTGGGCCTTTGGGGGGTCTCTTGGGTGCCTCTTGGGATCCTTAGTTAGCTTCGCCCCTCTAGAGCTCCCAATGTCGCCTCTTGGGACCCTCTCTGAGCGCTCTTGGGGCGCTCTTGAGCGCTCTTGGGGCTGTCTTTGGACCCTCTTGGGCTCTCTTGGATCCATCTTGAGGCCTCGGGAGCCCATCGGACGCGAAAGGGCGAGAAGGCCACAATCATTGCTTCCTTAGGTTTTGGACGGATTTTGGCCTCTTGGGGGCCTGCTTGAGAGTCTCCGCAGCCACTTGGCCATCTTGAGGCCATCATGGGGCCTCTTGGAGCCATCGTGGAGACCATCTTCAGTTAGCTTGGACCATATTGCGCCATCTTGGAGGCCATCTTAAAGCATCTGGGGCCCTCTCGGAGCCCTCTTGGGGGGAACACCTCCTAAAGATGCCCCCGAGAAGCCGAACATCGTTCAACACCCTTTTGATTTCAATGCTTTTGTTCATTGAAGAGGGGGGGTCCTTGATTAGCCTCGCCCTTCTGGAGCCCTCAACGTCGTCTCTTGGGGCCGTCCTGGGGCGCTCTTGGGCCGCTCTTGGGGCCGTCTTGAGGCCCTCTTGGACCCGCTTGGAGCAATCTTGATGCCTCGAAAAGCCCTCGGAAGCGAAAGGGCCAGACGGCTAAACTCATTGATACCCCTTAGTTTTGTTGAAGGATCTGGGTCTATTGGGAGCGTCCTGGGGAGGCCCCTAGCACACTTGGACCAGTCCTGGAGGAGTCTTGGGTCCTCTTGGACCATCTTGGAAGCCATCTTGAGCCATCTTGCGCTATCTTGAACCATCTTGGAGACCATTTTGGAGACCATCTTGGACTCTCCGAGGTCCTCTTGGAGCCATCTTGGGTCATCTTGGACGCTCTAACTACCCGCCGCCCCCCCCCCCGCGTCCAGGCCCAGGAGGAGGGGTTGGGGGAGTGGCCAAACTTCTCCTAGATTGCAAGCCGGCTAGCTCACTCCCACATGCCCTCCCAACACATAAGTAACACCCGAGTGTCAGCATACCGCTTAGGATCGCCACACATGCCATGCGCGCCACGGGTTCCAGGTGCACCAGGCACCCCGGAGGCCGAAGCGTCCCGGGCGCGCCAGGTGCGGCACGTGCTCCAGGTGCGCCAACTGTGCCGCGCGTTCCAGCCGCGCCAGGTGCGTCAGCTGCAGGGAACCAAGAGGGACCCCAGTTGCCTGGGGCCCTGGTGTCCAAGAGTCCAGAATCTTGGATTCCTCTAAAGCGAAGTGCCGAGCACTCTGTGAGAAGGGCGGCTCCTCCAGGGAGCGCAGGGCAGCGGCACCGATCGTCAAAGTGAGTCATTTCGAGGAGTCGTGGAACACACGAAGACTCACCGAAAATACCGCCCCCGTGGAAGCGTATCCAGCAGCGCGCAGCTGTAGAAGCAGGAGCACGCGCTCGACGGACACAGCGCGTCGCCACACCGTCCCAGTCAAATGGCACGAGGAAGCGGTGCATGCACCCCGCCGCCGCCACCCCTGTCAAAAACCAATGCAGAGTGGTCGCGGGGCGCCTGCGCGTGCTCCAGAGTTGGAGACGACGTGCATGTGGCATTGTTTTTTTGACAGGGATGCTTGGCCTGCGTGCAGCGAGCAATCTGCCGGCCCCCCCGCCGCCATCCCCAGCAAGAGCCGGCGCGCAGAGTGGCCGCAGGGCGCCCGCGCGCGTGGCGGCAGAGGGCATGTTGAGTTTTTTTTTTTGTTCACGGGGGTCCGTGTTGGCTGCTGCTACCTCGCACGCTTGCAGCTCCCTGGCAGCCCCGGCAGCCTGCAGTCACCACCCCCCGCACCGCCCCGCAGCCCCGGCTCTGAGGCTTCCCCCGGCTGTTGGTCCTGCTCTGCTCTGCGCTAGGCAATTCGGCCCCCGCGCGGCCCGCTTGGACCTTACTCGCCGCTGGCGCTCTCGCCTGCGGTTGCTAACAAAAAAGTTGGCTGCTGGTCGCCTGGGGGAGGGGGTGTTTACAGTCGGCCCAGATTAGTAGGTCGACCCTGCCAAATCAAGGGTACCCTTGTGTCCTGTGTCTCGCGACCCATGCCTCCTACATTCCTGTGGCAATGTGGTCCTCGGAAGGTTCTTGTGTCCTCTCGCGTGTCCTGCCCAATCGAGGCCGACTGTATTCACAGCCCCTCTCCGAAGGGGAAGAAGTGGTTGGAAGAGGAAACGCACCAAACCACCTCCGCCCAGAGGGCTTGTGGGACTTCCGGAGTGCCACGTGGACTTCCGAAAGTTTATGTGAATTTCAACAGATTTTCCTCTCGCGGCTGCGTCGTTGGGCGCCCCTCGGGGGCCCGATCACGTAAGGACAAGCAGGCCAGACGGCCAAAGCACATCGAAACGGTTTTCTGTTGGCATCGGGCCAACGTTTCTTCTACTGCGGTGCTCTTCCGAGCCAGGCTGGCTACTGACGATGTGCATGCAAAAAGGCATGAAAGCATTGCCCCAACACACGTGCAAGACGTCACAATTGAAACAAGTAAATCCTGGTCCTCCCTATCTTAGCCTGGCCCTGAGATCCGACGTTGCGAAAACGTTACAACATCACAAATCACGACGGGGGCCCTAAACCCAATCTTTCTGCAACATTTTTCCGAGCCAGACCGATCTGTGATGCGTAGCTCCAGGGCCCGGAACTGGGCAAAATCGCTTGGTGTGCAAACATTTCAACGCCCGGATCTCAGGGCTAGCCTGTGTTTCCAGGTTTGGGAATAGCGTCCGGGCCCGCCATCAGTTGAAGGTCGCTGAGGGGACCGAGCGCGACCTTTGTTTTGGGGCGACGGAGGAGGGAGTGATGCTCGTAGGGTAAGAGCAATCCGAGCTTCTTGCGAATGGGGTCGTAAGGATAGCTATTGACAGATCAGGCGCGCCGGCCGAACGTATTGGGATCTCGCCCTGGAAACAACGCTGCCGCCCCAGCTGGGGCTCCTGGGCCCAAAAGCGTCGCACTCGGTGCTGTGTCGCCTGTACACTTGCTGCCTTTGCGTTCCGCCGCCGTTTCAGCGCGTTGCCCTGGCGGTGGCTGGTAGGAGGAGGAGGAGGAGGAGGAGGAGGAGGAGGAGGAGGAGGAGGAGCAGGAGGAGCAGGAGGAGCAGGAGGAGCAGGATGAGGGGGAGGAGGGGGAGGAGGAGGAGGGGGAGGGAGGGGACGGGGAATGGAAGGAGAGGGTGAGGAAAAGAGGGTACGGGAAGGGAGGCGGGAGGGAGAGAGGGATGGGGGCTCCTCCTCCTCTTCCTCGTCTCCACCCCCTCGAGATATCCTTTGTGTAGATCGCGGAGTCCTTTCTTGCACCTACGTGCCTTCGCTGGCCCGAGGACGCGCCCCTCACGTCGTCGCCGCCGTCGCCATCGACGGCGACGTCGACGTCGGGATGCAGCGCCAGCCGGGCGCAGCCTCGCCCCCGGCGCTCGGTCAGATCCTTCCCAGCGCGCCAGGAGCGCTCGGTCGTCGAGTTCGTGGAGCTGCCCAAGCTCTTCCAGGACGGGGCGGTCCCCCTTTCCCCCTCCCGTGGCCTCCTCGCGGTGCGAAGGGTGAAGGCGAGGGGGTCCGGCCAGTTTCTGGACTCCGGGGTCCATCACCAGGCCCTGGGGCCGTCAAGGAACGACTGGGAAGGCGTGCGTACCTCTGGGGTCCCACGGTGTGAAGAGATCACGACGTCGGAGGCGTGCGTCTGCCCTCTCTGCTCTCACGGACGGTCGGGAATTTGTCGCTGCCTTGTCGCACCGCCGGTTCTGGCCCACCACGCTGCGGCACGGCACGCTGTCCATGCCCCAGTCCCCGGAGCGTCAGTGCCCCGAGCCTGTCCCAGCCTCCCGCCTCCCAGAGCGGAGCGACACGCCACCCACTCGCAGGGCACCGCGTGTCGCCGGGTCCGCCGCCGCGGCACGCGGAGCAGAAGCTGCAGGCCGTGCAGGTCGCTCGAGGGGGCGCGAAGACGGCCGCGCCTCGAAGGGGGCGCCGGGGAGTCCTCGCCCGTCCTCCAACCCTTCGCCGCCTCCGTGCCTGCGCGCGCCCGTGTGGCCAGGCGCGGGGAGCTCCCTCGTCGCGCCCGGACGCCTGTGGATCGCGCGCCGCCGCGGCGGCCGACGCCCCGTGGCCGCGAAGTGGATGGCGCGCCCCGCCGGGGCGCGGCGGGCCAGACCCGGCGGAGCGACGCTCTGTCCACAGAGAAACCCGACCGTGCGGGGGGGGGGCCTCTGGCCGCGCGCTCGCGCGGCCGCCGGTGGCCTCCGGGCGGGGGCGAGGGCGCGAGGACGGCCGCGCCTCGCGGGCCGCGGCTCGCGGGGCCTGGAGAGCGCGCTCGCTCCTCCCGGGGTGTGGGCGCCCCAGGGTGGCGCGGGCGTGACGAGGCGCGGTGGGCCAGAGCGGGCCAGCTCCGGAGGAGGGGGAGGAGGAGGAGGAGGAGGAGGAGGAGGAGGAGGAGGAGGAGGAGGAGGAGGAGGAGGAGGAGGGGAGGAGGGGGAGGAGGAGAGGGAGGAGGAGGGGGAGGAGGGGGGGCTGTCTGTGCGCAGCCCGACGCCTGACCACTCTGGATGGTGCCTGCACCTGGGCCCGCCCGCGTTTCGAGCGGCCAGCGTCGTGCCTTCGCTGCCGCGGCTGTGGCCTCGGACGCCATGCTCGGAATCGTTTCATGACCGGGAGGCAAGCAGGTCCCTGACTCCAGATCCGCCCTACTTTGGCTTTTTTTCCAACTTAAAATTGCGTCGGAAATCCACCTATAAGAGGCCGAACAAGTAGGGCGGAAATTGCTGCACCCAACGGAAAGTAGGGCGGAAATCCACAGAAGCAGTGCGGAAACAGCAACAGAAAAGTAGGGCGGAAATTGGCATCAGCGGGGCTTGAAAAGTAAGGCGGAAATTACGAGCCCTACCTACGAATTTCCCCAAGTAGGGCGGATCCGGAGTCAGGGGTGACCCAAGATGATCAACGGGCGGACGGCCATTGTGATGGACAGCGTGAGTGAGGTTTCGAGATCGAGTTCCTGCTCACCCTCTGTTACCTTTTGTACTTCCTTTTTGCTTCCCGCTTTTCAGTCCCCCCCGTCTCCCTCTGCGACTTGCGACTGCTCTGAGTTAGGTGGATGCACTTTCGAGTGTTGCGCCGAACCTTCCAGCGCACGCATGTTCCAGCGCTTGGGCTCGCAGTGCCGTGAAGATCTGCCCTCGATGAGCTCGCATTTAGCCAAGACGTTCTCTGTCGACCGGGGGACTGCCCAGCATGCGCTCCTCGGTTCAACTACCCAAGATGTGTTAACCACGAGCTTGGCCTGTCTTCTCGTTCCTTTCTTGGTTGCAGCTGCCCAGCAGGAAAGCCAAGTGCCCATGCAGCTCGTGTCGCCCGCGGAGTACCCCGTGCAAGACGGCTTCAGTATTTGGACCAAGGCAGAGGTGCTTCGTTTGATCGCACTGGGCTGCCCAGGGGCCTTACATATCTTTGGCATCCTTCCGCCGTAACTCTTTTCTCGGTCCCAACATCCCCCCTTGGAGGCTTCAAGCCCTTCGAAGCCGATGTTTGGTTTTGATTGTGTATCAATGTTCGCTATTGTCGGAAGAGGCTTCCCCACCTTCGTCGTCCCTTATCGTGTTTATTCAGTAGCTTCCAGCAAACTGGCCTACAGTCTTAGTCAATTGCAGCTTCATTGCGCCGTACGCGCGAGGCTGGCCCAATGTCCGCGCAAGATTTGACCGGGCAGCCGGCCCAGGTCTCTTGGGCCAATGGTTTCTAAGATACCGATGTTGTGCTCGCTTTATGAGTTTGGGAAGTTCCTGGAGGTGTAGGGTGTAGGGGCAGGGCCCAGGGGGGACGACTCCACCCTTCTCCCCAATCTCCCCAATCTGAATTCCTTCTTACTGTGCCAGCCCCTCCCCCGTTCCCCGTTCTCGGGCCCCCTTCTCCCGTGCCCTCTCCTCCTGCCCTCCTCTCCTACACGCCCTTCCCAGGCGATGTTATCTAAGGGATACGGCTCCGACCCAGCGCGCTTGAGAGCACCGCGCTCTGGCGCATGGGCAGCGCCGCTCCCCTCCGTCTGTGGGAAAGAATACACACACACACTGAAACACACACACACACACACACACACACACACACACACACACACACACACACACACACACACACACACACACACACACACACACACACACACACACACACCACACACACACACACACACACACACACACACACACACACACACACACACACACACACACACACACACACACACACACACACACACACACACACACACACACACACACACACACACACACACACTGTGGGACAAAAACACTGTGTGTGTTTTTCCCACAGAAGCGGGGGAACTTCAGGAGTGCTCGCTTGGCGCATCGCGGCTCCAGTTCGGGCCCCGCCACGCCTCGGCGCGACACGCTGAGCACGCCCCCGTCTGCAGGCATGGTTCAGGAGAGGAACAAAACACACAGACACGATGAACCCTCGATTCCCCCGAAAAGATGGGAAACTGTGGGACGTGGGGGGGAAGACAGACACCCAGAACATATGGCAAAATATGGGGAAGCCTTTTATTTGTGTGTGTACTCCAGATTTCGTAATAAAGGGAGGGGGGTCTCATTTCGGGGGGGGGGTCTCTTCCAGGCTATCTTGGAGGGCCTGGGGGGGTCTGGGGACGATGTTTTGGAGGGTTCTCCCACGGGGGAGGTCTGAAATGGCTTGTCTTGGAGGGTCCAGACCCCCTCCCTTTTATTACGAAATCTGGAGTATTTGTTTGTGTGTCCTGGGGCCCCCTCAGTGGTGCAGCATCAGCGCTCCGAGCACCCCCCGCAGCCTCCCATCCCACGAAGCAGAGCGACGGGCTCGTCAGCTCGCAAGGCACATAGCGTGCCGCAGGGGCCGCCGCCGCGCCACGCGGAGCGAGAGCTCCTCGCCGCAGTCAGCCCAGCTCTGCCTCTCTCCCTCCTCCTCCTCCTCCTCCTCCTCCTCCCTCCTCCTCGTCCTCCTCCTCCTCCTCCTCCTCCTCCTCCTCCTCCTCCTCGTCCTCGTCCTCCTCCTCCTCCTCCTCCTCCTCGTCCTCGTCCTCCTCCTCCTCCTCCTCGTCCTCCTCGTCCTCCTCGTCCTCCTCGTCCTCCTCCCCAGGTTTTCCCCCACAGTCGAGAGACGTCCAGAGGGGGACGAGGGCGCCCAGGGGGCGAGCTGGAGCGCAGCAGTGGGGCCAGACTGGCGCAGGTCCACGGGGCTTCAGGGATCCCCCCCTCCTCAGGCCTACGGTCGGGGCCCTGAAGAAGGAACCCTTCTCGTTGGGGAGGGGCTCCGCGTTCCTTAAGTGTTTCGCAGCTTGCCTCAGGTTTTCCTTATGTTTTCGATCGGAAATCGAAGTTTAACTCATGGAAAAAAGGGGCCTCGTTCCTTGTTTTGGGCTCCTTAGGTCAAGCCCCCGACTGTACGGTTCTTGAGCCTCCACAGGCCGCGAGGGAGTTTCTTCCGTTTTCTTTTTCACGCCCTATTCACCCAATCTCCCCGCGGAGGGAAGGAGGGAGGGAGGGAGGGAGGGAGGGAGGACGGGGGGCAAGGGGGGGCTACGCAGTGACGGTCCCGATCATGAAAGCAGGAACTCGGGTCAGTGATCCGACTTCTTGTTTCACATAATCGATTCCTCCTAGATGAAGCACTTCGAGGCTGTGAGGAAGCTCACGCTTGAAACATGCAACCTGCCGTCCGACATGTGACTTAGGCCTCGAGAAAGAAAGGCATACTTAAACAAATAAAGGAAGATGCGGGACCGCATCGGACGAGGGGTCCTTCGCGACAGGGGGGAATCATAGCCAAGTCACCCGCGGGGGCGCGAAGATAGCCGCGCTCCGCGGTGAGGGGGGGGGGGGGGGGCGGGAAGGCAATGACTAGAAGCCCGTGGCGGGGGGGGGAGGTGGGGATAGGTACAGAGGAGGGACTTGTACTTGGGGGAGAAGCGGGGGAGGGGGGAGAGGAGGCACGTCATGACAGGCCACGCAGGTCACTTCCCAGAAGGGCCGAGCTCAGCTCTCAAAGGCAGATGCCTCGCTCTGGAGTCTGCTCAGAGCGTACATGTTGAGCAGAGCACCCCTCCTGGCAAGCGCAAGCAGCCTCTGAGGCGCGCCATGGTGTCCATCCCCGCCGAAGTGGAGGCGGGGGAGGCGTGGTCGGCCTTCCGCGCCGATGCCGACTGCTTCCCCGCTGCGGCGCAGCATCTCCAGCGCGCCGCACCGCGGCGCAGGGGGCCAGAACCGGCGGCGCGGCGCGCTGTCCAAGAAGACCCGACCGTACGGGGAGGGCACTGGCCGCGCGCTCGCGCGGCCGCCGGTGTCCTCCGGGCGGGGGCGAGGGCGCGAAGACGGCCGCGCCTCGCGGCCCGACGCGCCCAGCGAGTGCGCCGCTCCCCCCGGGGTGGGCGGCGCGCGGGCGCGACGACGGCCGCCCGTGGCGCGCCGCGCGCCACGGGGGCCGCGAAGCACGGAGAGTCGGCGGCGCGCCCCGAGGGGGGGGAGATTCGGTGTCGAGGCTCGAGGTCTTCGGGCGTGTGCGTCGGTTCTCGGCGGCTTTCCAGCCTCGGGACGCGTTCCAGCAGCCGCGCCTCGCGGTCTGGGGGTGCCCCGATCGCCTCGAACGGCCGCAGGAGACACGAGTAACGACCCGGAAGCACGACGAGGAGCATGGAGGGGGCACGCCTCCTCAGGAAGCGGCGGGGCTTTTCGGAAGCCCCCCTCGTGGCTTCGGGGAAGACGTAGGAAGTGCCCCGCCCCCCCCTCCCTGGGCGCGCAGCGCGCACGATGGGGCGGCCTGGACGCCAAAGGCCAGCGACCTGCGCCTGCCGCACCGTCCGCGCGGCAGTGTGCCGCGCTGCCGCGGCGCCGCATCGCGGCGGCACCTGCCGCGCGGACGGTGCGGAAGGCGCAGGCCGAGGGAAGGCCGGCGACCTGGCCTGCGCCCCGCCCGCCGCGCGGGGGTCTCCGAGGGCCGGCGGCGCCCGTGCCCAGTCTGGGGCCCCGGGGGAGCGAGGGCATCGCGCGGAGGGCGCGCGGAGTGGGCAGAACGCCGTCGTCGTCAGCCCTCCGCGGGGAGGAGGAGGAGGAGGAGGAGGAGGAGGAGGAGGGAGGAGGAGGAGGAGGAGGAGGAGGAGGAGGGGGGCCGAAGCGACGAGCGAAGCGGGGGGCGGCGTCGAGGGCGGGGCTGCGGGCGGGGCCTCAGGCGGAGGTCGGGGCCGAGCGGGGAGCGAGCGGGGAGCGAGCGGGGGCCGAGGCGAGCGGGGAGGGGGAGGTGCGGGCGGTGGGGCAGCGCGAGCCGTGGACGTGGCTACCCCCCTGCCTAGCTTCGCTGCGCTCGCGGCGCCGCCAGATGCGGCCGCCTCCTGTCTGCTCCTCGGCCGCCTCGTCATCCTCATCATATCCGCTTCCTCCCTCCTCAACGTGCTCATCCTCCTCCTGGTCCTCTTCCTCCTCGTCGTCGTCGTCTTTCTCCTCCTCCTCCTCCTCCTCCCCCTCCTCCTCCTTCTCCCCCTGCTCCTCCTGTTATCTTCCTTTTCATTGCCCCTTCTCCAGTTACGCTGATTCGCTGTGTTGAAGTCCCAGAAGTGGTGCTCTGGTACGGCTCAGGATCGTCAAGACACAACAGTCAGTTTTATCGTGGCGTTGGAGTCACAAGAATGGTGTTTTGGGCATATATTAGGGTCTGCAAACGGTTGTCTCCCAACGAGGCAGTTCTCTCACTGGAGATGAACACTTGCAGGGGTTCATGAACACGGAGCTTGGAGGAAGGGTTCAGTCCAACATCGCTTATGTCTCTTGCGTTTACACTGGTCCGTACCGAACTTCCTTTCAGTGACTTCTCTGGGGTCCATCTCACTGCCATCGGACCTCGGGGGAGCGGGGACACGCATACACATGTCGGGGAACTTTCATCTTGTGCCGCCAATCATCTGTGCGACCTGGGAGAAAGAGAATACGACAGCATCTTCGAGGCGCCGCATGCGCACTCGTCGTACGCATGCTCGGCACGCGCAGCACGCTAGTATTGAATAGATGCATTTGCTCAACCCAATGCGGGAACAAAATGAAGTCCTTCTTCGGCCGCCAGGATTGGACCTACACGATGTAGAAGCAGCTGCAGCAAAGGAGGAGGAAAAGGAGGAAGGAGAACAGTCCATCCAGGAAGATATGAAATGCGGAGTTTTTATTAGCCTGTTTGAATCAACTATAAAGGCTGACTTGTTGCCTTCGGTGGGGTCGCTGCCAGAACAGGCGAGCACTGGAGTACAAACAACAACAGTGGACGATACAGCAATAGAGACGGACCAGCCAATGGTGCTGTTCCCAGCGGAGTTCGAAGAGGAAGAAACAAGCACTCAGCAACCAAATGTGCTGGAAGAATATATCTTGGATTTCGCGAAAAAAACACGTTGCTGAATGTGGGAGGCCGGTAAGCATTGACGTTTTCAGATATTGGAAGAATACCACGATGGTTGCACCCATAGTGAAATAAGCATTGCCATTCAGTTGTTGTTGTTGAAAGGGGAGCTATTGCACATAGAAGAAGATGGGGGTTTGCACGTTTTCCCAACCGCTGAACAACACATGTTGCGAGACATGGAGAACAAAGCAAAGTTGAACGGACGGGTAATGGACACATTGTATGATATACTGGCCCAGGGCGAGGCGATGTCATTTGAAAGCTTGTGTTGCAGAATAGAGCTCCCATGCGAAGAACAAGATGTGCGTGATGCCATTTTTGCATGGATCGAGGTTGGCGCTTTTGAAAAAATTGGAGATCGCTATAGATTCACGACTTTGGTGTAGAGTGTCGCTGTATTAGATTGCTACCATTGCTTCTTTACGGACGCAAGAGAAAGCAGAGAGAACACATTTCATTGCTGACCAGGCGCGCGCGGGAAGAAAATAACCAGTTCTGGCGGTTGACTTGGCGCGCGTTTGGCGCGTCGGGGCGTGTGTTTTATCTCGGGCTGATAAGTGATATGCAGCAGAGCGCTGCTTCTTCCTCTCAGCGTTGTGTGGGGGAGGGTGGGGAGGCTGGAGGGGGGGAGTGCGGCTGTGGAGAGTCCTGACGACGCGTGTCCCCAAAGGGGCTGCGGCACGCCATGCGTGGATGTGGCCTGCCCTAGCCCGAACCCGACTGTCTTTTCCGATGTGCAGGGGAGGGTTTCTCCCTGCAGAGCGGCTGTGGGTCGCAATGTTCTCGCAGTGGGGGTGGAGGGAGGGAGGGGGGGGTCTCTCGAGGGCACCCGACTGCCGCCGGTGAGCGACGGCGAGGACGCCACCCACACCCGTTGGCGGAGGTCCATGGCAGCCTGGTCAGGACCCCACGCATCCATATCTTGCGCAGGGGCTTCTTTCAAGTAGAGTCGGGCTTTCAAGTAGAGTCGGGACTTGGACACTGCCCCCTAAGCGCCTTTACCTTTACCTTTTTACCTCCTCCTCCTCCTCCTCCTCCTCCTCCTCCTCCTCCTCCTCCTCCTCCCCCTCACCCTCCCCCTCACCCTCTCATCAATCCCCCTCTCCTCCCCCCTCAAAATCCTCATGCTGCTCACGTTGCTGCACATCGTCTCACTGCTCCTGCTGCTGCTGCTGCCTCTGTTGCTGCTCCTTCTCGTCCCCATCCTTGTCCTCCTCGTCCTCCTTGTCCTCCTCGTTCCCGCCCTCCTCCTACTCGTCCTATCCTCTTCCTTATCATCATTTTCCTCCTCCTCCTCCTCCTCGCCCTCACTGCCCTCCCTGCTCTCCCCGTCCTCCTCCTCCTCCTCCTCCTCCTCCTCCTCCTCCTCCTCCTCCTCCTCCTCCTCCTCCTCCTCCTCCTCCTCCTCCCCCCCCTCCTCCTCCAGAGGTGCTGCTGTGGGGAGAGGAGCTGGCAGCCCAGTGCCTGGAGATCGTCTCCCACCTCACGGACAGCGAAGGGGGGAAGGAGGGACGTGTCGGGGCTTGCTCCTAGTTCTCCTCGCCGCCGTCTTCGTCGTCGTAGTCGTCGTTGTCGCCATCCTCCTCCTCCTCCTCCTCCTCCTCCTCCTCCTCCTCCTCCTCCTCCTCGTCCTCTTTCTCGTCATCCTCCTCGTCCGCCTCGTCATCCTCCTTCTCTGCCTCCGTTCCTCCTTCTGCTTCGTCTTCTTATTACTCGTATTATTATTATTATGTTTATGTTGTGTAGTCGTAGGATTAGTCGTACTCGCATGCTTACTCTTCGTATTATTTGCCTGCTTCGTGATATTGATAGTGGTACCGTGCTTATTGTTGTGTTTTCTTGTTGTCCGCATACTCAGTAGTAGTGTTACTAGTGTGCCATTACGAGTGTTACTCTACTGTGAATTCGTAGTACTGTTCGTGCTACTAGTAATATACGCATTCACATTCGCAGTATTAGTATCATTCGTGTGGTTCTACGTGTTCGTCGTCGTCTTTTCCGTAGCCTTATTGGTTCTCATGTTTATGATTTGCGCGGGTGCCATATCTGACATCCTACCCCTCCCATCGATTCCCTCATATTGCGCTGTGGGGTCTCTATCCGTGTACGCGTGCAACCTGGAACCAGACCAGCCACCTCGCGTTATGCGCAATCGGAAAATGGGGAGCTGGGCTTGAGGAGACGGAGGACGAGGAAGGAGGAGGAGGATGAGGAGGAGGAGGAGAGAAAAGGAAGAGAGGAGGAGGAGGAGGAGGAGGAGGAGGAGGAGGAGAAAGACGAGGACGAACAGCAACAGCGAGACTTGGAGTGGAAAATGCGGCAGGAGCAGGATGACCAGGGGAAGGTGGAGGAGGGGAAAGGAGGGGGGCGACAACGATGAGGAAGGACTTGGCTCCAGAAAAGTGGTCCGCGCCAGAGCGAGAGCGCCGTTCTCAACGATGGGAGCAAAGCGCCAAGTCGAGAATCAGCCCCCCGCGCGGGAATGCCATTTTGAAACACCGAGAGCAACCGGATTGAACACAACCATCAGCGCATATGGCTTGATCAATCCTGGATGTACAGGGCAGTGTGCAGAGATATCGGGACACCACCTGGGCAGAATCAGGGTAGAGAGAAGGGTAGTAGATACAACGTGTAACTTGTTGTGACAGGGGTGAGGGAATGGTTGAGGGGAGCAGGGGCGAGGGGGGAAAGCATGTTGGGAAGGGACGAGGACCGAGGAGCTGCTGCAGGAGGAGGAGGAGGAGGAGGAGGAGGAGGAGGAGGGAGGAGGAGGAGGAGGAGGAGGAGGAGGAGGAGGAGGAGGAGGAGGTGGAGGCCGGGATGGTCGGATAGGAGTGGCGCGGAGGAGGATGAGGATGAGGGAGGAGGGAGGAGGAGGTGGAGGAGGCTGGGATGGTCGGAGAGGAGTGGCGCGGAGGAGGAGGAGGAGGAGGAGGAGGAGGAGGAGGAGGAGGAGGAGGGGCACGAGTGCAAAGCCAAGGCTCATCAACGAGGTTGCAATACACCCTCACTCCAAGCTCCCTCTTCGTAGGCCCTACAATGCCCCGTACGGGGGAACCGTGTGAAAATCATGAAGCGTGCCAAAACATCATTCTCAGGAGTTCAACGGTACGAGTGAACCTGACTGGCACATCTTCGCGACCCTGAATTGTGTCAACACACCGTTCTTGAGACTTAAACATTGCGAGCCAGCGCAACTGTTGCGCCCTGACATTCCTGAATCGTTCCAAATCGCCAGTTCTGGTATGTTAACCATGAGAAGCACTAAAACGCTTGCGCTTTGTTGAAATCGAATGTGCGCGGCGCTTAGGCGAGAGCCACATTTGCCCTCAATCCGTGAAGCTCTGGCAAATGTTTACAGCGAGTGTGCGCGGTGCTAAGACGAAAACCACAGGTCGAAAACGAACCGCCCTCAGTCCGTGAAGCTTCGGCAAATCTTTAAAACAAATGTGCGCGGCGCTATGACGAGAACCACATTTTGGAAGCGACCCGCCCGCCGAGAATGATGAGGAGGCTGGGATGGTCGCCAGCGGAGGGGACGGGGAGGGAGTGGGGATAGAGAGAGCGAGAGAGGAGGAGGAGGAGGAGGAGGAGGAGGAGGAGGAGGAGGAGGCTTAGGGGAAGAGCGGCAGCAGGCGGGGTGCAAGGAGGAAGAGGAGGAGGCCCTCGGCGGCAGGACACCTCGCTGTACCAGCACCTGACGCTCACCATCCTCCAGCTCCAGCAGGGCGGGGCCGCCACCCAGCTGCTGCGCTCCCCGCTGCTGAGGCTGCTGTCCCTCCCGCTGGGCCCAGTGTGCGCGCGCCTCAGCAGAGCCCACGCTGCTCCGGCAGACTGCCAGGGGGCGCTGCAGAGTGGGTGCTCGCCTTCCCTGAGATCTGGGCGTTCCAATGTTTTCGCATCGGGCGTTTGCGCCGGGCTTCGGGCCCCAGGGCCATGCTGTATCAGAGGAGGAGGAGGAGGCGTTTATTCTTGGAGGAACAAGCACATCATTTGATGTACCCTCCCCTTGTCTTTCTTTTTTTCTCTCTATCTCTCTCTATTCCTCTCTCTGTCTCTTTTGTTCTCTTTCTCTCTCTCTCTCTCTTTTTTCTCTCTCTCTCTCTCTCTCTTGCTCTCTCTCTCTCTCTCTCTTGCTCTCTCTCTCTCTCTCCATACCGTTAGGTGTGAGATGTTGTATACATGCGCATAGTTATTATGTTTACATGCATACATATGCATACACACGTATGTAGATGCCAATATTGCTCCATATCTCCTTGTCTCCGTGTCCTTCTCCGTTCCTCCTTTCCTTCTCTCTCTCTCTCTCTATTTATCTCTCTCTCTCTCTCTCTCTCTTCCGCCCTCTCTCCCCCATTCCTGTCATTTCCCTCCTCTCCCGTTCTCCCATCCCTCCCCTGCCTTCCCTCTCCGACTCTTCCGTTTCCTCTTTCCCACTCCCTCTCTCTGTCTCTCTCTCTCTCTCTATCTCTCTCTCACTTGTTCACCACTTACTCAGTCTGACTACTTTAGTTCTCTGTCCTCTGACTGTGTCTGGAAATAGTTCTGGCCTCTCCGCATACACTCGTTCACGCACAGGTTTTCAACACTTGATGTATTTGATGTGCCTTCTATCCAGCTCGATCGCTTGTTCTTTTTTTTTATAAAAAAGCGGTGTTGAGGCTGCAGCGTTGGCCTGATTTCACGGTCGGCGCTGTGCTTCCGTCGTTCAGAGAGGCGTTCTCGCCCCGGCCCCGGCCTGGGAGTTCTGGATGGGAGTCCTTCCTCCTCGTTGTCACCCCGTTTCTCCCCAGTCTCCGCCTTCGCCTGGGCCTCCAGATCCTCCCGCTCCTCCTGCCCCAGCTCCTGCTGTTGCGGCAGTTCTTCCTGCTCCTCCTTCCTCACCCGCCTGCTCATTCTCCACCTTCCCTCCGCTCTCCCTCCACCTCCTCCGGTCTGCACAGCTTTCCCTCCTGCTTGCGCACACCGCGACGGGATCTTTCTGGGGGCTCCAGGTCTGCTCTGCCACCCGTCTGCAGGAGAGGAACAACCAGCGCCAGGGGACCGTCCCCCTCTCTCCTCCCCGTCCCCATCCACGCCCTCCCTTCACTTGGGAGGGAAAGAAGAACAAGAATAATCATCGAGGTACCGATCGTAGTAACAACAATAAGAATAGTACGAATAAGCAGAATAAGAATATTAATAAACGAATATTTATATGCATAAGACGAATAAGCAACAATACAACGAACCATACTGCTAATCATAAGATATGGGACCATGAAGTTCATATGAAGCATATTTAAAGGACTAGCAAGACTACAGTATATTTACAACCAATAGAAAGTAATCACACTAGTAATACAAAGAGTAAGCGTAGTAATAGTTTTACGACTGCTACTAATAATATTCATTCCAATAATCATAATAATCTTGAAAACTTGGGGCCTCTTGGGAACCTCTTGGGGCCTCCTGGGGGCCTCTCGGGGCCGAGGGCTCGAAATGTCCGTTCGGGTCCCCCGTCTGGACAAGCTCTTGGAGCCGTCTTGGGGGCCTCTTAGGCAGTCTTGGAGGCGTTTTGAGCTGTCTTGGGGTCCTCTTGGCCAGTTTTTTAGCCCTCCTGGAGGCCTCTTGGGCCGTCTTGGGGTGATCTTGGGGGCCTCTTGGGTCATCTTTCTTGTAGCGGCGGGAAGCGGACAGGGCGACAACTTCCAAATCCTTCAAACATTTGCTTCCTGGGCCCTCTCGGGAGTGCTCTTGGAGGCCTCTCGGGCCGTCTTGGAGGTCTCCTTGGCAGTCTGGAGGGACTGAAGGCGTTCTGGACCGGTCGTTTGGCGATTGGGGGGCCCCTTAAGAGCGTCTCGGTGACCTCCCGGGGCACTGTTGGCTTGTCTTTCTCTTGTTGAGGCCCTGGGACCTCCAGGGGGGGATGCTTATCTGCCCCCCCCCCCCTGGACCCCCCCACTCCCGACGGAGGAAGGATCAAAGGGAAGGGACTTCCCTTCGACTCGATTACGACATGGCTAGACTTTTCACTCGCTGACATGCTCAAGAAGGAGGGTGCAGGGAAAGGGAACGACGGAGACGACGATTCGGACAGACAAGCCTCTCACACACGCCGATAGGGTCGGCTGATTTTTCCTCACTGATTCTGAGCTTCGCTCACCTTGCCTGGGTTGAGCGGTTAACACTAGTGGCTCCCCACCCTTGGGGTCCGTCCATTTACGAATCGCGTTTACGCGCACGATCGGTTGCACATAGCGTAATCTTCTCTCGAGTTTCAGCTGTGTGGTCTAGGAGGCGAGACATTCGGCCCGATATTGATCCGCCGCCACTGCTTCCTCCTCCTGCTCCTCCTCCTCCTCCTCCTCGTCCTCCTCCTCCTCCTCCTCCTCCACCCCCTCCTCTTCCTCCTCCTCCTCCTCCTCCTTCTTCTCTTCGTTCCTCCTCTTCGCTCATCCTCTTCGCTTCTTCTCCTCTCGTTTCCTCCTTGCTTCTCCCCATCCCTTACCCGCCCGCGCCCTGTCCACGCGCGCCAAGGCGAGACCGCTGCGTGCGAGCCCAGCGAGGGCGGCCAGGCTGTGAAGTGCGTGCTGATGTTGGAGGCAGAGGAGGAGGAGGAGGAGGAGGAGGAGGAGGAGGAGGAGGAGGAGGAGGAGGGGGAGCAGGAAAAGGAGGAAGAGGAGGGAGGAGGAGGAGGAGGAGGAGGAGGAAAGGGGAGAGCGGACCAGCGGGAGGCACGCAGAGGATGAGGCGGAAGATGAGGCGGAGGAGGAGGAGGGCGGAGGAGGAGGAGGAGGAGGAGGAGGGGAGCAAGGAGGAGGAGGAGGAGGAGGAGGAGGAGGAGGGGGGAGCAGGAGGGGGAGGAAAGGGCAGAGCGGACCAGCGGGAGGCACGCAGAGGATGAGGCGGAAGATGAGGCGGAAGAGGGGGGAGGAGAGAGGAGGAGGAGGAGGAGGCGGCGGAGGAGGAGGAGGAGGAGGAGCGGGAGGCGGAGGAGGAGGAAGGGACGAGGAGGAGGAGGAGGAGGTGGAGGAGGAGGAGGAGGAGGAGGAGGGAGGAGGAGGAGGAGGGGGAGCAGGAGAAGGAGGAGGAGGAGGCGGGAGGAGGAGGAGGAGGAGGAAGAGGAGGAGGAGGAGGAGGAGGAGGAGGACGGAGAGGACTAGGAGGAGGAGGATGAGGAGGAGGAGGAGGAGGAGGAGGAGGAGGAGGAGGAGGAAGAGGAGGAGCAGGCGGAGGAGGAGGAGGCGGAGGGAGGAGGAGGGGACGAGGAGGAGGAGGAGAAGGAGGAGGAGGAGGAGGGAGGAGGAGGAGGAGGACGAAAGAGGAACAGGAACAGGAGGAGGCGGGGAGGGGAGGAGGAGAAGGAGAGGAGGAGGAGGAGGAGGAGGAGCAGGCGGAGGAGGAGGAGGAGGAGGAAGGAGGATCAGGAACAGGAGCAGGAGGAGAAGGAGGAGGAGGAGGAGGAGGAGGAGGAGGAGGAGGAAGAGGACGAGGAGGAGGATGTGGAGGAGGGTGCATGTTATATACATAGATGTATATACACGATTCGGGCACAGCTGTTCGCGTGCCTTCTGGGTGCCCCCGAGGGCGGACCTCGCAGGCAGAGCCTACGAGTGAATCAAGAGATACAGCCCCAGCCCGGTGCACGGACGCGTTGCGGACCTCGGTTAGCCAGGTGCCCCAGGAAGGGGGGTGGAGGAGCAGGAAGAGGAGGCGGAAGAGGATGATGAGGAGGAGGAGGAGGAGGAGGAGGAGGACGAGGAGGAGGAGGAGGAGGAGGCGGAGGAGGAGGAGGACGACGAGGGGGATGCAGGAGGATCATAAGGAGGAGGAGGAGCAGGAGGAGGAAGACGAGGAGAAGGCAGGCGCTCCCCTCTGGGGCAGGCACCGCCCTCGAAGGCAGGCGCCGGGGCCGCCGTCGCCGTCGCGGCCGCCGCCTTCGCCGTTGTGGCCGAGTAACCGCCGCCCCGCAGGCGGACGTCCCCTCGCCAGTCCCCGCGGGCGCCTTCTCCATGCACCTGGCGCTGCCCCACCGCGAGATGCCCGGCGCCGACCAGCGGGCGGCGCTGCCGCCGCCGGCGGAGGCCGCCAGCCCAGACGCAGATGCCGCCAGCGCCGACGACGACGATGCCGACGAGAACGAGGACGAGGATGACGACGATGACGACGACGGCGACGACGACGACGACTACGACCACGACGACGGCGGCGACGGCGGCGACGACGACGACGACGACGACACGACGACCTCGACGAAGACGATTACGACGACGATGGCGACCACGACGACGACGACGGCGACAGCGACGTCGAAGACGACGACGACGACGTGGTCGATGACGACGACGACGACCACGACGACTTTGACGACGACGACGACGACGACGACGACGACTTTGACGACGACTTTGACGACGACGACGACGACGACGACGACGACGACGACGACGACCACAACCACGACCACGACCACGACCACGACCACGATAACGGCCACGACCACGGCGGCGGTGGCGGCCACACTGGTGACCATGACGATGACGACCACCACCACCACCACCACCACCACCACCACCACCACCACCACCACCACCACCACCACTGCGGTGGCGGCGACGGCCGCGGCGACGTGGACGACGAAGTCATCCCTCAGCCTCCGCCTCCTCCTGCCTACCCACCCCTTTCCTGCTCCTCCTGCCTCCTGCCCATCCCCCCCCCGCGCGCGCGCTCCCGCACGCACGTAGGACCAGCAAGAGAGGAGGAGGAGGAGGCGGAGGAGGAGGCGGAGGAGGAGGCGGAGGAAAGGAGGGATAAGAGGAGAAGGAAGAGGAGGAGGAGGAGGAAGAGAAGAGGAGGAGGAGGAGGAGGAGGAGGAGGAGGAGGAGGAGGAGGATGATATCAAGCTAGGTGCGCTCGCGTCATATCTGACGTCCTACCCTTCCCTCCCATCCCTTACCATGTAGTAGATCTCCTCTCAATTTGCGCAGTCGGATGTCGCAGCAGGGCACAGCATTACACGGCATAGCACGGTGTTGAAGATTAACGCGTAGCCTGAAATAGCATGGCGTGGCGACGCACCATATTTGGGGGGGCTTCTGTGGCCCAAAAAATCAATGAACCGACACCGAATGTGGAATCACTTCCGATGGTTGCTTCGGGGGACAATGTTCTAGATTTTGGGGCCAGTTTGGAGGGACCGAAAACCATGCCGTGGCATGGTGCTGGAAATAATGACGCCAGCGCTGCAGCCGGAGGACGATTCGGAACGAACGGAAGCGCGACGGAAAAGAGTCCAGCGTTGCAGCGGGATCACGATTCGGAGAACGCGTAGCCTGACATAGCATGGCGTGGCGACGCCCCCAAGTGGTGGGGGGCTATTGCGACCCAAGAAATCAACGAATCGGCACCGAATGCGGAATCACTTCCGATGTTTTTCCCAACCGTCCTGTGGTGTTGGGTCCTCGTTTTGAAGAGACGGTCCCCGCGTCCCTCCTCCTCCTCTCATCCTCCTCCCCCTCGCTCCTCCCCCTCCTCCCTGCTCCCTGCGTTTCACCCACCCAGTCCAGCGCTTCGTGGTCCCATTGGGAGCTCCACCGAAGGTCCCAGTGGCACCGCCCGCATGCGTCCGCCACCACCCAGCACAGGCCTTGCTCCTTGCGTTTCACCCACCCAGTACAGCGCTTCGTGGCCCCATAGGGAGCTCCACCGAAGGTCCCCGTGGCACCGCCCGCATGCGCCCGCCACCACCCAGCACGGCCCTTGCTCCCTGCGCTTCACCCACCCAGTACAGCGCTTCGTGGCCCCATAGGGAGCTCCACCGAAGGTCCCAGTGGCACCGCCCGCATGCGTCCGCCACCACCCAGCACAGCCCTTGCTCCCTGCGTTTCGCCCTCCCAGTACAGCGTTTCGTGGCCCCGTAAAAGGGGGCTCCACCGAAGGTCCCCGTGGCACCGCCCGCATGCGCCCGCCACCGCCCAGCACAGCCCTTGCTCCCTGCGTTTCACCCACCCAGTACATCGTTTCGTGGTCCCATTGGGAGCTCCACCGAAGGTCCCAGTGGCACCGCCCGCATGCGCCCGCCACCACCCAGTACGGCCCTTGCTCCCTGCGTTTCACCCACCCAGTACAGCGCTTCGTGGCCCCATAGGGAGCTCCACCGAAGGTCCCCGTGGCACCGCCCGCATGCGTCCGCCACCACCCAGCACAGCCCTTGCTCCCTGCGTTTCGCCCTCCCAGTGCAGCGCTTCGTGGCCCCATAAGGGGCTCCACCGAAGGTCCCAGTGGCACCGCCCGCATGCGCCCGCCACCGCCCAGCACAGCCCTTGCTCCTTGCGTTTCACCCACCCAGTACATCGCTTCGTGGTCCCATTGGGAGCTCCACCGAAGGTCCCAGTGGCACCGCCCGCATGCGCCCGCCACCACCCAGCACGGCCCTTGCTCCCTGCGTTTCACCCACCCAGTACAGCGCTTCGTGGCCCCATAGGGAGCTCCACCGAAGGTCCCCGTGGCACCGCCCGCATGCGTCCGCCACCACCCAGCACAGCCCTTGCTCCTTGCGTTTCGCCCACCCAGTACAGCGTTTCGTGGCCCCATAAGGGGCTCCACCGAAGGTCCCAGTGGCACCGCCCGCATGCGTCCGCCACCACCCAGCACAGCCCGTGCTCCCTGCGTTTCACCCACCCAGTACAGCGTTCCATGGCCCCATAGGGAGCGCCACAGAAGAAGCTATGCACAGTTGCGGTACTCGCAACTGCATATGGTTGGATCTTTCGCCAGGCTAATGTTTCGAGGGGCTTGTTTTAGATAGGGAGGTTTATTTGGAAGGACCGAAAATCATGCCGTGACATGGCGCTGGAAATGATGACGTGAGCCCTGCAGCGGGAGGACGATTCGGAACGAACGACAGCGCTGAAATGAGGCTAGCGTTGCAGCGGGAGCAAGATTCGGAACGAGCGGTATTTTGAACATGGGACCAGCGTTTCACCGAGAGCAGAAGTTTGACATTATCTTGGCGAAGGACCCAACCACATGCAGTTTTGGGCACCGCAAGTGTGAATCTCTTCTTCGGTGAAGCTCCATATGGGGCCACGAAGCGTTGCACTGGGTGGGGGGGAACGCATGCGGGCGGTAGCGCTGGGGCCGTCAGTGGAGCTACTTATAAGGCCACGAAGCGCTGTACTGGGTGGAGGGGACGCAGGCGGGCGGTAGCGCTGCACTGGGTGGGGGAGCGCATGCGGGCGGTAGCGCTGGGGCTTTCGGTGGAGCTCCCTATGGGGCCACGAAGCGCTGGGTGGGCGGGGCGCATGCGGGCGGTAGCACTGGGGCCGTCGTTAGAGCTCTCCATGGGGCCACGAAGCTGTACTGGGTGGGGGGATGCACGCGGGCGGTAGCATTGGGGCCGTCGGTGGAGTTCCCTCCTAAGCGCTGCATTGGGTTGGGGGGGCGCATGCGGGCGGTAGACCTGGAACCTTCGGTGGAGCTCCCCATGGGACCACGAAGCGCTGTATTTGGTGTGGGGTGGGGGGGGCGCATGTGGGCGGTAGCACTGGGGCCTTTCGTGGAGCCCCCAATGGGCTCACGAAGCGTGTGAGGGATGTGCCGACATGGATGCGGGGGACGCATGCGGGCGGTGGCATTGGGGCCTTCGGTGGGGTTCCCTATGGGGCCACGAAGCGTGTGAGGGGTGTGCCGACATGAGTGTCGGAGCCACATGCGGGCGGTGGCACTGGGGCCTTCGGTGGAGCTTCGTGAGGGGTATGCCAAATTGGGTGTGGGGGACGCATGCGGGCGGTACCACTGGGGGCTTCGGTGGAGCTCCCTATGGGGCCACAAAACGCTGCACTGGGCGGGTGAAAATGCCAAATTGGGCGTGTGGGACGCATGCGGGCGGTCCCACAGGGGGTCGGTGGAGCTCCCTATGGGGCCACGAAGACTTGTATTGGGTGGTGTAAATGCCAAATTGGGCGTGTGGGACGCTTGCCGGCGGTCCCATGGGGGGCTTCGGTGGAGCTCCCTATGGGGCCACGAAACGTTGTACTAGGTGTGTGGACTTGCCAATCTGTGCGTGTGGGGCGCACGCGGGCGGTCCCACTGTTGGCTTTGGTGGAGCTCCCTATGGGGCCGCGAAGCGCCAAATTGGGCGTGTGGGACACATGCGGGCGTCCCACTGGGGGCTTCGGTGGAGCTCCCTATGGGGCCACGAAGCGCTGTATTGGGTTTGTAAAACATGTTAAATTTTATGTGTGTGTGTGGGTGACGCACGCGGGCGGTCCCATTGGGGGCTTGGGTGGAGCTCCCTATGGGGACACGAAACGTTGTACTCGGTGAGTGAACATGCTGCACTGTGGTGCTGGGTGTGTGAAGATGCAAAATTGGGCGTTTCGGGACGCATGCGGACGGTCCTACTGGGGTCTTTGGTGGAGCTCCCTATGGGGCCACGAAGCGTTGTATTGTGTGGGTGAGAATGCCACGTTGAGTTTTCGGGACGCATGCGGACGGTGGCACTGGGAGCTTCGGTGGAGCTCCCTATGGGGCAACGCAGCGCTGTGCTGGGTGGGTGGAAAATGCTAAATTGGGTGTTTCGGGACGCATGAGTGAGAAGGGGGAGGAGGAGGGACGGGGGAGCAGGAAGGAGTGAAGAACGCGGGGCGCGCGCTGTCTTTTCAAAACCAGGACCCAACACCACAGGGAAAAACCTAGCGAACATCAGTTTCCAGGAATCCGGTGTGTGATAAACCAGTACGCGGAGGGGGGCCGAACATTTCCCAGGCGTCATCAGGTGAGAGAGGATCGTAGTATTCATACTGTGTAATAGTAGAGGAGGAGTAGGAGGAAGAGGAGGAGGAGGAGGAGGACGAGGAGGAGGAGGAGGACGAGGAGGAGGAGGAGGAACAAGAAGAGGAGGAGGAGGAGGAGGAGGAGGAGGAGGAGGAGGAAGAGGAGGAGGAAGGAGAGAGGAGGAGGAGGAGGAGTGGGAGGAGGCGGAGGAGGAGGAGGAGAAGAAGAAGGAGGCGGAGGAGGGAGGAGGAGAGAGGAGAGGAGGGAGGAGGAGGAGGGAGGAGGAGGGAGGAGGAGGAGGAGGAGGCAGGAGGAGGAGGAGGAGGAGGAGGAGGAGACGGATGGAGACGGAGGAGGAAGGCGCAGGACCGCGTTGCGCCCCTCCGCAGGAGCCGCCGAAGGAGGAGCCAGCTCAGGTGGATATGAAGAAAGCCCAGGGCAAGAAGAGCTTGAAGCCGTCGCCCGAGGAGCCCCGCTGGGCGCGAAGTGGAGGAGGGGAGGAGGAGGAGGAGGAGGAGGAGGAGGAGGAGGAGGAGGAGGATTTGAGAGGATTAGCAGGGGTTGGCGCGCAACGAGCGCAGCAGGGACCGCCGCAGGGGTGCATGCTACCTGATCGTGTGCCTCGTCCATCCCCGTCCCTCACCCCAGGCCTCACCTGTGCGGTATGGGGAGGGGGCAAAATCAAGGCGGTCTAATCGTCCAGCGGTCGTCCGAGGATTCCCCCCCATGGCATCTGGTCATACCGCAATCGTAGCTGAGACCGCTTGGCTCCCAACAAATACCGACACCGTAGCTGATCACGTGGTGTTCCAGCTGCATCCCCCGAGAGCAATGCGGGCCTGCTCGCAATTTCGCACCACGACCTCATCTCCGCACTGCCGACCTTTGCACACGAGCTGATCCCAGAACTGTACCTGAAGACGTCTGCTCCTGCACTGCCGCCTTCTCGCATTGCCATAGCTTGCTGCCACTGCGTGCCCTTCTCGCATTGCTGGCGCCTGCTGCCACTGCCTGCCTTCGTGCACGAGCTGAACCCCGAACTGTAACTGAGGACGTCCGCTCCTGCACTTCCGCCTTCTCGTAGTGCCAAGACTTGCTGCCACTACGCGCCCGTCTCGCATTGCCAGTTCCTGCTGCCATTGCGTGCCACCGCACACAAGCTGATCCCCGCAGTTTAGCTAGTGACGCTCGCTCCTGCAAGCGTCTCGCAGTACCAGCGCCTGCTGCCACTGCTCGCCGTTTCGCTATCGGGCTCCGTCTTCGCCTTCATCTTCCCGCGCGGATTTAGCTGATGGCATCGGGCTCGCCCTTCGCCTTTTTCTCGATGCGTCGGGCACCAGCTTCACGTCCCGCTCGTTGGCATGAGGATGTTGCTGTGGCTCCAACTTCACCTTGCCCTGATCCCAGCGCTGTAGCGGATGTCATTTGGCTCGTTTTTCATCGGCCTCCCTCGGATGCAGCTGACGGCATTGGGCTGGTTCTTCACCTTCACACAGCGCCAGCGCCCGCCGCCACTGTCTGCCTTCTTGCTCGCACGGGTTGCTCCCAGCGGGGTTGCTGGTCGTGGACCGCCCGCACTGTTCTCGCAGCGACAGCGTCTGTTGCCGCTGCGTGCGCCCTTTCTCGCACCAGCTGCTCCCAGCGGTTCTGCTGGTCGTGGTTCACCCGCACTTGCCTCGCAGCGCCAGCGTCTGCTGCCGCGCGCCCCTTTCTCGTACGGGCTGCTCCCAGCGTTGCCGCTGAACGTGGCCCACCCGCACTTGCCTCGCAGCGCTAGCGTCTGCTGCCACTGCGCGCCCCTTTCTCGTACGGGCTGCTCCCCGCGTAGCCGCTGAACGTGGCCCACCCGCACTTTTGTCGCTCTCGCAGCGCCAGCACCAACTGCCACTGCTTGCTTTCTCGCACGGCCTGATTCCTACACTGTAGCTGACCACGACCATGTGCTGCCTGCACTTCCGCCGCGGCGCTCGGGAGGCTGGCGCTGCAGCTCGCCAGACTGACGACGCGGTTGAGACCCAGCCCTCATGGGGCAGAAGAAGTCGTTGTGGAGGAGGCCGGGAGTGCGGCAATACAGGCAGGCAACAGGGAGAGCATGGGAGCAAAACACAAAACACGAAGGCAGGAGAAGCGAAGGGCCACCGTGAAGTACATGAACTCTCTGGGGCCGCTGCCAAGCACTAGACGGCCTGCAGGGGATGCAAGTTTCGCTTACGGTCCAAGAGGGGGTCAATGCTGGGCACCAGACGAGCTGCAGGGGATGTAAGTCCCGTTCACGGTCCAAGAGGAGGACACTATTTAATACAAGAGCCATTGATTTAAACCATACACGAGGTGTATCATCTGTTGCAAACTACCGCTGAACCCGGGAAGGATTATGGTGCCTACGGCAGGTTCATGGTGCTTGTGCCCTGAAGCTGGAAAGGCGCACCATGCGCTTCTGTGTCCACCCCGACCTGCACACAGGGACTTCGCACCACCACATACGGTGGGGGTGTCCTCCCGTGCCCACCCCGTCCGGCACGCAGGGATTTCGCACCACTCGCTGCGGTGTGGGGGTCCTTCCTGTGGCCACTCTGTTCCGCACGCGGGGGCTTCGCACCACCCCCTCCGATGGGGGGGAGGAGGAGGAGGAGGAGGAGGAGGAGGAGGAGGAGGAGGAGGAGAAGAAGGACATGGTGTTGTTGTTTTATATGCAAGGCAAGGCGTAGACGAGCATGGCGTGACGTGTCGTGTTCCGTAGCTTTCGGTTTAGGAGCCTGAGAGGAAAAGCTTTCCATCCCAAATTAACGTAGATCACAAAATGGTAGTGGAGCTATAGTTCAGTCCACGGACGGAATGGCGACGCTCGAGCAGCCGGCCCGGGCATCCGGAGAAGTGCGCCAGCAGCTCGACCAAGAGCGAACAACACGGCTCGCAGCAGAGGGGGGACAAGGAGGTGCAGCCAGAGGAGCAGCACTGATGGACGGCGGAAGCGAGCAGCACATCGACCCGCGAGTTCTGAACAAGTGCCCGATATTCAATGGCAAGGATGAGGCATGGCCAGAATGGCCGTTCATCTTCGAGAGCGTGTGCGGAATGGCAGAGTTAGAAGACACTCTCGACGCAGCGTCACGAGACGTGATCGACTTGAAGTTCAGCGTGTTCCACTATCTCTTGGTCAACAGCGTTAGGGGCAAAGCTTTGACGCTGGTGAGGCGCGGAGAAGCACGACGGAATCATCGCATGGACACGGATCAAAGCGGAGTCTGCGCCAGACGTCGGAGGGAGACACGCCGCATTGCTGATTGGAATACTGCAGCCAGGCTGGGACCAGAGAGCGACAAGCCAAGAGTTCCCGAACGACCTGACCGAGTGGGAGACCAGCATCCCGGAGTACGAGATGGAGAGCTCCGAGACTGTGAGCGACTCAATGTAGATAGCGGCGCTTGCAAATCATGCCCCAGAGCCGGTGCGAGCCATGGTGAGGCTCGCGACAGGACAAGCGAACGGACGATATCGAGACGTACAGCAGAGTATCAGAGAGTACCTCCAATTCGGCCAGATGTCCAACAAAGGTGGCATAATCACAGGCATGAGCGACACGATGGGAGCAGCTCCGATGGGCGTCGACGCGGCTTGGAACATCAAAGGCAGCAAAGGCAAAGGCAAAGGAAAAAGCAGTTGCTTCATCTGCGGGCGACCTGGACACAGAGCCTTCGAGTGCCGACTGAGGGAAAGGGCAAAGGCCGTGATGGGCAAGACGCAAACGGCAAAGGCAAAGACGGAGTGTAAGGACCCAAGGCCAGGTTCGACGGCGATTGCAAGCACTGCGGCAAGAAAGGTCACAAGTGGGCAGACTGCAGATCACGACTCCGAGGAGATGCAGCAGCGAAGCAAGTCAGATCAGTGGAAGACAAACCAGCGACGGCGACCATCGAGGAGGTGAATGCGGACGACGAGCACGATTGCCAGCTGTGCGAGCACGAGGGCGACCACAGCGACGTAGGGGGCCAGTGCGAGGACACAGAAGGGTACTACGAGGATCCGGACACATACTCTTGGGGGATCGGTGTCCACGAGAGCGAAAGTTACTGCGAGACCATCGAGGATGACGAGGGCGAACCGCCAGAGGTTAAGAGCCACGACGGTCCAAACGCACGCGACCAGAGCGACGACGCGAGTGGCGGCGAAAACAAGTGGGCGGTCAACGCTTGGAGAGAAGACCTGGACGATGCAGGTGGCGAGCGTCTTCCCCTAAACAGCGCGCGCGAGGGGCGCGCCTGCCTATGGGACTTCGCCGACGACGGAGTTGATCTTGGACCTGGGGGCGTCCGCCTAAGCGGAGCGAATGGCAGCGAGATCGCCCCAGGTCGCAGGGCCCCGGTTGAGTGCGCGGCGCTGAACGTCAACGGCCACGCGAGTGTGAATGCTAAGGCCCCGTTCGTGCCGAGCGACGTGGAGTGGGCGTTGCTGAGTGTCGGCAGGTTCGCGAAGAACGGCGTCGACGTGCACGCCGAGAAAGATGGCCCTTGGCTGGGGGTCGACGCCGACCGGGGACGAGTGAAGGTGCCAGTGCGCGCAGAGGGCGCGCGCTCGGGCTAAGGATAAAGAGGAGGTTTTCGCTAGCCAAGCCAACGGTGATGATCGCATGTGATCGCGCCAGTCGGGGGCGAGGCGATGCCATCGGCTCCCAGGGCCGCGGCATCATCAGAAGCTGCATCGAGCTCCGCAGCAGCAGCGAGTTCAGCGGCAGCATCGAGCACAGCAGCAGCATCGAGTTCAGGAGCAGCATCGAGCTCGGCAGCAGCAGCGGCTCCCGCCCGCGGCAGCTGCAGGGGTGCCCCAGGCGCCGGGCCCTGGAACATCAAAAAGCGCTCGTCTGGAACGAGAAGCAGAACAGCTAGCTCAGCAGTGGCTCGAAAATCGGCAGCACGGCGAGCCGATCGGTAATAGCGGGCTCTTCAGCGGCAGATCGGTGGACGACGCGAGGAAGAGGTTGAAGCAGCTCAAAGCCCCGATCTGGGGAACCAAGCAGCAGCTACGGGAGGCGTTTGGCGCATGCCGAGGCAAAGCTCGAGTTGCAGATAAGGGGCGAGAAGTGGCTGGGGGGGCGCGCCCAGGAGCTCGCCGAGTCTGGGGGCGAGACTGTCGTCCCACGAGCCCCAGCAGAACCCGCGCCAGACGAGCGAGCGGGGCACGGGGTCACACATACCTTATCAGCCGCGGTGCGCACGGTGCGCCATGGGCGAAGGCAGAGCCAAGCCGCGCGATCAGAGGCCAGAGGAGACGAAGAAGCTGCCCGAGTTCGAGGTCTTCTGCTACCTGCTTCAGGACCCGAAGAGACGACGGGGCCCAGGAGATCAAGCTTGGGCGACGACGCTTGCACTGGTGGGCACGGCAGCGCAGAACCCCATGGCGATGGCAGTCCCGGCGAAGACGGGTGAGACCCACTACGTATCATCAACGCGCGCGGCTGTCGTCGAGAGGA